ATCTATATTAAAAAGTACTCTTTCCTTAAGGATTAAGAGGGATTATTACAAATAATGCAAAATGATCATTGAAAAAACTTATTTAATATTTTAGTAATTTTAATATGTTACTCCAATATAAAAATACATTTGAACTTACCATTACACTGTCCACATCCATATGCTTTACCCAACATGGACACAGCTGTACTTATCCGAAGAGTACTTAAATCTGGCATTTGAAGCGGTAATTGTTGTTCCATTTGCGCCATTTTGTCTGAAACAATATAAATAGTACATAATTATATATAAATTATTAAATAATTTGTTAATATAATGAAATAAATATTTTTCATGTAAAAAAATTAAAATTAGTTGAAAAATTAGTATATGTTGTATATATTATATCATTGTTATGTATTATAAAAATATAAATACATATATATAAAATATATATATGGTTTATGTTTGCAGAGATTTTTTCTTTCATATTACAACTCCAAAGATTTTCGCAACAAATCCAAATTGCACCGTGAAACCACAAATAGTTTCGGATCTGTCTGAGCCTGTAGTTACATTCAAATTATGTAAGTATTACACTATTTTATTTAAAAATATTTCTGTATTAATTAATATTTCAGTATTATTATATTTTTTACATATAAAAATGCTAAAAGAAGCTTTTAATAATAAAATAAGTAGTATGATAAGTATAATTCAAAGAGAAATGAAAGAAATAATTATTTTACATTAAGTTAGATTATTTAAAAGTTTTATTGATAAAATTTTGATAAGAGAAAATGATATATTCTTGCGTTTCTATCTTCCAGTATCAGGTGATAATGTGGTAGTCAAAAGTGCAAACTTGACGTCTCTGAATATTTTGGAACTTTACAACAAACACATCACACCATTAGCTCCATCTGAACCTGAAACTGGAAGTGAAAGAACAGCAGCAGACAAGGAGGAAAAGAAGAAACGAAAGAAAAGAATGAAATATAAACGTGAATCCAAAAATAGACCAGTATTTTTATAAGTTTATATTGGCAATGTGCTAATTTGTGTGTATGCTAGTAACTTTTTAAAGATTAAAGCATAATTGGATACAAATATAAATATAGGTTGTAGAATAAAATATTTTTAGAGAAAAAATCAACTTTATCGTTCATTTGAAACGTAAAAATCCAATTTTCTTTTTTCTTCTTCATTTATAGAATATCACAGAAAATTAAATGTACATTGTCAATTCATAAGAGAGGTTTAGTAATTAATATGTTCACTGAAAAGTACATTTTGATTGTCAGCAATATTCAAATATAAAGTAGGAGGAAGAAAGAAAATTCACGAGTATATCAAATTATTTTTATATTTCTCATTACCTACGTTTTATTGCATTTGCATTTTTCTATGAAGAATTGACTTTTTCCTTTCATAATAAAACGTAATTGTTTAATTATTCTTCTTTACTTTTAATACACTAGAGGATAGAGAATTTTAACTTAAGTATAAAAGGAGTTTTGTTTATAAAATGGCTAGCCATACTACAAATAGTAAAAACTACAATATGAAACTTATTGATACTCTGTACAATCAGGTTCCAGCATTTACAGATGTCTTTGATGAAGAAACATGGTATATTTTTGTTGCCTGCTTTGTAGCAGGTACATTTTTAATTACGTTTATTCTTTCAAGATTTATAACATTAACACCTGTGGAATAGGTATAAAATATATTCAAAAAAATGTGTGTTACATTCATATACATATACCATTATTTATATTTAGTGCATTACATTAAATAATAATACATTGTACTGATAAGATTTCTTTGCACACCTTAGTTATTTCTGGTAATAATTTCAATAGAAAAATATGTGTACATGTACATATGAACACTGCTTTGAAATAGCTTTAAGTGTCTTAAACACTTTGTTACACTATTTCCAACAGTATTTAATGTTAAAACTGTACATACCAAAATTATTTATACTATGAAATTGTGGAAATCGAATTGGTCTTTATATTACAAACTGATCATAAACCCTTTGTAATTCATTATATTTACACTGTTTTCATAAGAATTACAGAATTTATACCTTTAATGTAATCAAAATTATATAAGACTTCATAATAAATAAATAATAAATGGAAAAATTGTGGTAGTGTATAATACATTGTCATTATAAAATCAAATGATGTTTTATTACTTTCAATTCAGAATACTGAATGTTTACAGATATAACTATAGTTGTATTTATAAGTAATAACATATTAATTAAATGTTATTTTAGTACACAGTAAATTTTGTGTTATTAATTTTAATTCATTACTATATACAATACAGTTATAATGAAATTTGAAGTTTATACGTACACAAACTAATATTTTAATTAATTTATGCATGTAGTAATACTTGTACTTTTATTATATTCAGTAAGAACTCGTGCATTATAATAGTGACAATATTAAGTCTACAAAAACATTTACTGATGAAAACTTATTCTATGTTTTAATAACATGGGTATTCATTTGAAATATATTTATTTAAAATTAATTATCTATATAATAATAAAAACATTCCTAAAGTTTACCTATGTTTAGGACGTCTTTAGGTGGGGTTTCCCCTTAAGGTGTGGTCTATGGATCTTACGTTTGTGTTAATCACTGAAAGTTGGATTTTTTAATTTAAAACAGTTTTCGTTTATCAGACATGTTTCCTTGTTCACTTTATTATTTAATAGTGATACTTGTTGATAAGTTGGCATATAATTATTCACTAGAATTAGGAATTCGATTATTATTTAAAAAATTTCGACATTATAACTGCTGGTTATAAGAGTAAATGAAATTTATATTTTACAATATTGCTACAAGTATCACCTTTTTTGTGTGTAAAGAGAATCTATAGTTGACTTCTACTATCAGCTGTTTATTCTGGAATTCATACAGCAACTTTCAATGTTTGAATCATTGGAAATTAAAATGCAATACAAACTTTATTTATAAGTACATCATAAGGAGTTTAATATTTACATCTATCTACACAAATTTTAGAACAAAGATATATCCATCAATCTTTGTTTAAAGCTTTATTGACATTTATACAAAATATGTATATGTACCATAAGTGTTCTCAGTGTGAAATCCGAGATCCTTCATTTCATATTTCTGTTAACTTCTGTTGTCCCAGTGCTCAGAATACGAGTTCAACTTTTAACACGTTGACTACCATGGTTTACTACCATCACTGATCAGAGCTTTCAAATCGCTTGAGAACAATGACAATAAAAAACATTGATGTCCAATAGAAATATTTAGTAACACAAACAGCTAGATAATAGTGTAATATAAGTACTGTAATACCAAGTCATTAATAATTATTTCTAATACCACTTGGCTCTGTTATGAAAGAATAAGTATTATTGTGGGAATCAACTTGGAAATAGTGTACGCAGCGTCTTACATACACGAAAATGCGACAAAGGGGGGTATTTTGTTTATTAAATAATATTTTTAATAACACGACTCACAATATAATGCCATAACAACTGGTTCCATCTCATTCACACACCTTCTAGAACATACTTTCGTCACCATGCATTAATGTTCACGTATATTTGGAATATTCTAGATTCATTAAAATGAATCAATATATTCTAGAATATTCCACACATCATGAACATTCACACGCACACGCACAACCGCTGTTCATCTACTGCACACACGTTCATCCGTACACCCATTCTCACACTTGGCCATCCTGCAATGATACCCGCTTCGGGTATTCCGTTTTTATCACGCCTGTTTATTCGTCAGTTGTTTCTTATTCGCTCGCGTTACTGTCTCCGCTACTGACATCTTAATCGTCACGTGTCCACGGTTTCATCGGATCTGCTGCTATGGATGTTTCGTACGGAAGCTCATGGCTTCCGACTTTTTCGATGATGTACTGGTCGTGTCGCAGTAACCCTAACTTTAATTCCGGGCCCATTTGCGTCTTTTTAATGGCTACTAGCTCATCTATATGGTAGCCCGGTGCTTTCTTCCGCCTTTTATCGAAGTCCTTCTCGTGTTCCTTTCGTTCGATTTCGGTTTTCCTCGAAGTTGACGGTCCATTCTTCCTCCAATACCTCTCGTATCTGTGGGTTATCCTTCGCACGCATACCTGTTCCGAAGAACAATTGAAATGAGGACGTACTAAGACTACAATGCGACGTCTCGCATTAAAATATTTTTGCGCTAGTTCCAAATTTCGGTTACATTCATTTCCCCAGATTTGCCAACGGTCCTCGTAAAAGCAGTCCCCCTATCAGAGATGATGCGACAGGGGTTTCCGAACGTGATCACCTATTTTTCGAGCCGCTGCAACACCTCGCGAGTGCTCGTTGATTTCGTCGCGTGGTACCAGACGAACTTGGTAAAAGCATCGACAACGAGTAGAATGTATCGATAACTTTTCTTTGTTGACGGAAGAGGTCCAGGATGGTCTACACAGTATGAATCTAACGAGGTACCTCACTTTACCAATAGGTGTGAGAAAATCGTCTTGTTTCCCCAACTTTCGTTCTGCCAATATGCATTCGATGCAATTGTATGCAATTTGCAATAATTTTCTCAGTTTTTGATTTGATACTCGAAAACCAACAATCCCTTCTCAGTCATTTTTCTGTTTTTGTTGCCACAAAAGAAGGACCATTTCCGTCTGCTTACTGTATTACTTGTGACTGTAATCCTTTCGGTACAACCAGCGGAACATCACCGTCGACAACTTTAAAAAGCAAACCGCAGCAAGTAATCGCTCATCTTCTCTCCCTCGGTCTTGGTTAAGTCGAAAATCCGACTTAACCAAGTGTTTCATGGTTTTTCTGTTGTGCTCGCCTCATCTTAAATGCAATTCCGTCATCCTCGCGAATTAATAAACATTCTGGCAGAATGTTTCTGCTAAACGCGTCTACACGCGTCATTGCTTTGCCCTGCTGGTGTTCTATAGTGTCATTCAATTCTTCCAATAGTAGAGCCTACCTCGCAACGTGAACGCATAAGTTTCGTTCCTTCATCGTCAGCGCGAAAGCTTTACAGTCTGTTAGAATCTTCAAATCAATGTCTATTAAATACGTCCTGAATACTTTGAGGCCCTTTACGATCGCGAGAACCTCTAATTCATTGCTCGAGTATTTTTCTTCCGCCGGTGTTGTCTTTCCGCTCGTGAAATATACTGGATGCATGTCGCCATCGTCGTCGCAATATTGCATTAATATCGCCCCGAAACCGTACATAGACGCGAGTGAAGCTCGGTGCGTGCTTCTGCTCTATACAATTTTAATACCGGCGACTCGCATAATTTTTACTTTAACTCTTCAAACGCCGACATTTCCTTGGACCCGAAAACAAATTTTCGGAAATACCCAGTTAACTCCAAAAAATTTTGTACTTGTTTAATCGTCGTCGATTTCGGAAATTTTACCACAACCTGTGTTTTTTGCTCGGAAGGTTGAATCGTGCCGTTTTCGATTATGTGACCCAAAAATCCTACTCTGCTCTGTAATAACGCGCATTTCTTCCAATTTATCTCGAGACCGATTTCTTTCGCCATTATAAGTATTTGTGCTAGTTTTTGTATCTCGATTTCAAGGTCGATTGATGGTGCAATTAAATCGCCTATATATGTCAGTAGAATTTTCTCGTTAATTAAGTTCCTAAATACAGCATCGATAAACCTCGTGAAAACGGCGAGCAAATTACATAGACCAGACGGTACACGCAAGAATTCGTATTGGCCATCCGGTACGACGAACGATGTGAATTTACGGCTGCCTTTATTCAATGGCACGTGAAAAAACCCGTTTTTCAAGTCGAGCGTGCCAAATGTTTTCACGCCTTGCAACGCATTGAGCTGCTCTTCTACGATCGGTAACGGATAGTATCTACTTTTCAAGATTTTTTGATTTATTTTTCGATAGTCTACACACAGTTGTTTTGAATCGTCTTTTTTATCTACTAGAACAATAGGATTTGGGTATTCCGACAGTGGCGGCCGTACGATACCCTTCTGCACCCATTCCTCGATTTCTTTGTTTACTAGCGCCCTTCTCGTCGGTGCCAGCCGTCGCGCTCTTTGGTAAACCGGTTGTTCATCGAAGTTGTTAATTCTTATAATCTACGCTACCGAATTCGTGTTTCCGGCCGTCCCGTGTTGCTTATAGCTATGGACAGCCTGATGGGATGTATCCATGTTTTTCACATTGGTAATGTCACACGCTACGCTCCTTTGCTGGGCAGTTTCGTGATTCAGATGTCCCGCCTCGCCGTTGTAGTAGCAATTTCCTGCATCTCTTCTTGGTGCTCTCCAGTTGCACTGCCGATGTTCATCCGTTCTCATTGGTGGATTCACTCTCCAGTGATTTCCATAAGAAGTGCTCCCTTAGCTCGGTTGTAGTAGAGAGAGAGCTTCTCGAAAGCTCGCAG